TTATGTCTAATTTAGAGAAATGAAATATCACTATTATAGAATTTCTTTCGTTTTAAACACTTAAAATTTTTTAGCTAGTTTAACAACTTAACTTTAAATATGATAAAGCTTCCCTGAAGACCTTACTTTAAGAAATAACTTTTTAAACAACTTTATTAAAAATATTGCAAAAATGGTCTTTTACATCATTATAAAACTAGAACTAATAATTACAACACAAATGATACTTAAGAATTAGTTACTAATACTATTAATAATATCTCAACTCCCTAGAGAGATGATAATATTATTTTTATCATTAAAGATGAGAAATTTTCATAACATATAGATACACTAGAGGAAGATAATATATTAACAGATAATTCAATTCAAAGATACAATTTTCTTCTTTTCTTTCTCACTATTCTTCTATTTCCTACCTCAGTCTCAAAAGATAATAACATAAATAAAAACAGCACACCCAGAAGTAATAAAAAAAAATAAAAATAAACAACATATCCAATAATACTGAACAAGCAGACACGCTATAAAAAATAATTCAAATAAAAATAAATAGTACAATTATTAATAAATAAAATATATATATATCTATTAATCAACAAAATTAATAATACATAAAAAATCAACAAGTATTACCTAATACTGTAGATGCATCATTATACAACCCTTATCAAATAAATAATAGACAGTTATCAAAAAAAAGACTTATGTTATTCAATGTGTAATAAATCACATATACAATCTACTTATAAACCTAATCATATATAGACTTTCATATTAGTTTTTACAATAAAAGGTAATAATTAAGGAGAAAAACTAGAACTACTGAATAACCTTTTTGCATAGAAATCTGATTTTATTAACATTAACTAGCATTTTTACAATAGCAATGCTCAAATATTTATCAAATTCAATAATAGAAAATTCTTACTGGAAGCAATAGATAATATTATTATACAACACTCTGATATTCTATTTAACTTAGACTGTAAGATCAATAATAATAATAATTTTAGTCAAACCTTCATATATAGGCTCAAAGTGGTTCCATATACAGTCACTAATAAAAGTAATGGCATTACAAGTGCTGCTTGTTTTTTGAGTCATAGCATATTCATTTTTTACTCTAGAATTTTCCAATTTTTCTGAGTGTTCTTTATAAATAATATTTAATAAACAAACAAAAAAAAGTTGTAAAAAAAATGAATTTTTTCATGTTTTTTATTTAAAATGGTATTAACCACTCTTAAAAAAACCAAAATGCTGTTAACCTTCTTTAATAGTGAAAAATCTAAAATGCAAGAGAAATTTCACAAAGAACATGTATTCTCTTATGCTCCTATTATCATTATATTAGTTCATTAAAGAAAATTGGTAAGATTACTATAGGTTATTGTTTAGTTAATCACAAAAATTAACTCTTAAAAAACGCTGCCAAATTAGAATGATCGTTAAGCATAATCATTTTATTACAGCAAGTGAAATGAAGGCCAACTTAAAAAAAAATCTCAGAGCTTGAAGTTAGTGAATAGACTATTTGTCATGAGCTAAAAAATCTTGGATTTTTATTTATTCGTCTTAGAAAAATTCCTTTTTTGACGCAGAAAGCAAAAGAGAACTGGTTGTTTTAGGCCTGTAATCATGTGAATTATAATTGGAATAAGGTGATATTTTTTGATGAAATTATACTTCAAATATTATGTAACACTCTTTTAGCATAGTCATGTAATAAAAAACCTATTACTCTAATAGTAAAATACCTATTTAAAGTTCATGTTTAGGATGTAATTAACATTAAGTGAAAAATTGGCATACACATGTTCACTGAAAATTTGGATCGTTATTTATACTACCAAATTTTGAATGAATATTTATATGATAATGCAAGTGTATTACATAGTAACTGATGAGTCTTTCAATAAGATAATGACCTGAAACATACTTCCTGTGATGTTTAAGGTGACTTGAAAACTTACCTTTCAGATCAGGTTCTTTCTTAGCCTTCCTATAACCCTGATCTTAATTCTATTGAGAATGTTTGGGCTATTTTAAAAAAAAATGTTGAGAAAGAGATCAAGAGAATGGTAGAACAAAGGAAAAAAATCTTGAAAGAAAATTTTTTAAATTTAATTAGAAGGAATGGGATGATATTAAAAATATCACAATAATTAACTGTATTAATAGTATGTCAAGTCACATTAAAGCATGTATTGATGTAGAAGAAGGTCATACTAAATATTAATTAATTAATAAAATATATATAATTTTGGTTGATCTTTTAGAAAATAAAATTTTCTTTGATTTTTTATTATAAAATTGCACACAAATTATTAAAAAACTGAGTGCCATTACTTTCACTAGAGATTTGTAATATAAAAGACAACCATATCTTCTGTGCACTTTCATACTATGGAATCTTTGAAAATATTGAAACAAATATAGATATAGATACAAATTATTATGTGATATCATCGTTTACTTCAAAAAATTAATCAAACTAAAACAAATGAACTCAGCATAGGCCCATAATATCAATAGACAGGTTATTAGGTGTGTCTATATAGATATTACAAGATATTACAGTCAATAAACTTAAACAATATAATAATTATATAGCAGGATTCAAAGGTTTTTCTAATAAAATATCACCTGTTAAAGCTTTTAGAATTCTTAGATATTTTGAGATCAGATCATGTTACTTTCACAATAATATCACATATAAAGCTTTCTCTATAGAAAAAGATATGACAGATGCATATAATCAACACATTTCTCATAATGGTTATATCTTAAGTGGTAAACCTAGAGTATTCAATAAAGTTTATAGTGACATTGAAATGGAGTAATTATCACATATTCTCTACAATACTGCCAATATATCCTCCAACTACCAAAATAAAAAGGCATCACTCATTCTAAAAAAAAGAAATCTTAAAGATATCGCTACACATCAAAACAGTAATTTGAGTAGATCAATTCAACAACACAAAGTAGTTATACGAGCCACAATAATCAATACAGTTACCAACAATTTTTAAAATACAACTCTATCCAAAAACTCATTAACAATTATCCTCAATAAACTACAAGAACTAGACTCAATTAAAGTCCACTTAGCCTAATTGGATACTCAATTTAACAACCTCATTAATTACAATGGTGAAGTTACCTAACATTTATAATATAAACATACCAGGCGAATCAATGAACTGAAATTCCTTTGCTAATAACTGGGATTCTAACAACTACAATAATGACGTATCTAATTTTATCAATATACAAAAATAATTATTTATTAATAACAAAGAATCAACAATAAATACTATTGATAACGATATACAAACACCTGATCACCTTAATATGAATAAAATAATAAACGGTGATATTATTAAAATCGCTACCTACAATATTAGAAGCATATGTGAATACACAGACCTGATTAAAGCTGACCAAATCTTAGAATACTATACTATTAAAAAACTAGATATAGTCAGTCTAATAGAAATATGATATATATAAAACATCATCATTAAATTTAGAAACTATGCTTTATATAATTGTTACTGGAGCCACCCAGAATCATCAACTCCTCACATAGAGTGGGCCTTCTCATTTCAAAAAAATGGAGTCAACCAAAATGTGCCATAAAAGAAAATTTGAATAAGAATTGATTAAAATTCTTATTTGTATAAACGAAAACTTCACATTGTTATTACAAAAAATCCTAGTAGACAAAGTAATAGAAAATTCATTAACGTTAACTCCTGCAATTTTTTAATAATTGTTAATGGCTAGAGCCAATCAATTTTATTTATGCATACTGCGTTCAATAGAATAATAGAATAACAATAGAATAGTTTTATTGGTTTCAAATTCAATAAATCACAGTTTATTGCCAACCAAGTGCCAGTCCCGAGCCGTAGTGACAATACATCGTAATCATCGTCATTTTTCCGCTTTCGTTTATTCTTGTTCGTTTGGAACGAACTTTCAAATTGTATGATATTCTGTGCGAATCCCTCGACTATTTTTCGCTGTGGCTTGTCTTCTGTAACGCAAATAAGGTTCTCGGCTTTCTACTCATCCATTCACATAGTTCGTGGTCGAAGATCAGTGGTAATAAGTTAGCGTAAGAGGGAATTAAAAAATGCACTATTTATCACTTCGAATTACAATGAGAAGGTTCGCTCCGTACTTTCATCACCTATTACTTCGTTTTCAGGCCTCATACTGAGTTCTTCCCATGTAGAATCTTGATTGCGGTATGAAGAATTGCCTCAACATACTTGTTGCGCATGGCTTCCAAGCTATCCACGACCAAAGACCCATAATTTTTTAACCTGACTAAAATTTTCGCCATACAATGCTCGAGGTGCTTGTCAAGAGTCTTGAATTTCGTGGGTTTGTAGGGAAAATAATGGGATAATGTCCGTACCATTGGAGTCAATGCCATACTTTTTCAAACTGCGGTACGACGAGAATCATCTATTACTTCTGTGTTAAATAACCACGTAACTCATATTACCGTGTCATATTATTTAAAAAAAAAGAAAATTCTTTTTTTTAGTTAATTTAAAATAGACTTAATAAAACTATATTTAATTGAGCCCGAAAATAATAAAATCAATGAATTGTTTAAATAATACATTTGTGAAACTCAAATGGCGTAAGATATCAGTTCTGTCCTGCTTCTTTTAGATAATACGTGGGAAGGTTGGCTTTTGAATATATTACTTTAATCGATATTCATTTATACAATTTAGTATAATCATTAATCAATAAATGGCTTCTAAATATTACAATTGTGAAATTCAATTGGCGTTAGGGATATAGTTTATTTGATTTTTCCTTTATAATTAGCTATTTTCTGTAATTTGTAAATGTTGGAATTTACGATCAAATTATCGAAGGTAAGTAGTATTAATTTACTAGTTTACTAATTATCCTACGAAATATTTTAACTATTGTCGTCTTTTAGTTTTTTTTACGGAGAAAGAATAATGGCATTAAGAAATAAATCAATTATTTTATTTGTTCTTATTGCTATCTACTTTACATCAACGTCATTATCTCAGACATCTTGTTCTATGTGTGTTCGATGTCCTATGGGAAAATTTGAATGTAAATATATTGTTTATTAAGATGCAATATTCAATTGATTCACTTTGCTAATATTTATTTTATTAATTCTAAACAAAATTAGGTTCCTGTAATAATGATAAATATTTTTACGAAAATCAATTTGGAAACTGTAACTGTCAAACCGGAGGATATACTTCTGCGTCAGCCTTTCCAAATGGAACGTGTCCCACTGGTAAAAAACCAGGTCCAAATGGTATCTGGGTAGGACATACTTGTAATTGTAGTAACTAAATTTTACGATTTTTATGTATTATCTATATGATAAAAGTGTTTACATTTCACATATGTTATATAATGATCATCATATATTATTATTATTTTTCAATAAATTGAAAGTGCAAATAACGGAAGAATTATCTAAAAAATCTACACAAATCTCAATATCTTCTGAATATAGTCGTGATCAAACACTGCCATCAACGTTCAGATACAAATGGAATAGAATTCACACAGAAAAATATATCCTTATTATCTATTTCGCCCAGCCAACATAAAAGTTCACGAATTGTTTATGTAAATTTCCATGCTAAATCGTTTGGAATAACATCCTCTATGTTCATTATGTCTGATTCGGTGCTTACTAATCGTAAGCCTCGGTGGTAATCGCAAATGTTCGACGGGATCGAGATCACGACCTAATAGAACGCTTTTGATTTTTTCTCCTTAGCGAAGTCCGCAAGCACCAGCGCAGGACCAGCCTTCATATCAATATCTCGAAAATCTTGCTTGGTATTTTGAGAAATGCACGACCAGTAATATCTTCATTTTCTAAAATTTTGATAGCCGTCTCGCTAAGACCTAAGTCCTGTTCCTGCAAAAATTCTATAAGCTTGGCCGTGTCATATTTTTTAATTTCTTCCGCTAGTGTGACCGTCTCATTTCCAACAGCAGAGATAGAGGTGGAAGCTGGGGTATAAGACGTACTAATTTCAGACATAGCGTTTTTTATAGTGATATTTAGCTCGGAAAAAAAATAGCGTGTTACGTTCCGGAGAAAAAAATTATTCTGCCGGAGGAAAAGCAAACGTTAATGTAGGTTTTTATGTCGCACAGGCACTATTTCTCATATACATCCGATAAAATAATACTTTATTTATAAAATAAAAAACGTTGCCGGAACTCGGCTTACATCCTTTGACGTTGCTGTTTTAAAATTTTCGTATGTCTATCACAACTTGACCAATTGCTTTTTTATGATTTGTTGCATTGTTTATATTATTTTTACCTTCAATTACTACTATTAATTCAGTCTATAAACGTTATTGATTTTTGAATATAATTATAAAATCTATCTTTGCAGTTGGATCATTTATTGAAGATATTAAATTGTGATATGAGTACTTTACAGTAGAAAGAGAGAAAATTACCAAAAAAATTTTTTTTTACTTAATAAGCTAATATTATTTTTTTAGTAAAATAATTCAGATTTAACATTAACTCAAAAAAATTTTTTTAGTAATTTTCTCCTTTTTTTACTACAAATTGTTCATATCAATTGATTTTATTCCTTTAAATACTTTTTCTTTATTTAGAATCTTCTGATCATTTAAAATAATTATACTAATATGTAAGTTGTTATTTTTAGATCTTTTTAATCTTTATATCTTATATTTAAAAAATAAAAGACAATATTTTATAAATAGATTTTATAATAATAAGGAAATATATAAAAAAAAATATGAATATTCATTAAAAAATATATAATAATAATTTTTTTAGATACCAAGTAACAGAAAATAATTTACAAATAAAATCTATTTTTTTATGTTATAAAACAAAATAATAAAATTATTAATTTTCATGTCTTAAAACAATATAGCAAGCATAGGAATAAAAATAAAAAATATAAACAAAAGATAGGTAAACATTAATTAATAAAAGAAAAAAGATTAAGTCAAGCTAATTAAATATTATAAATGTTCTCTCAAATAAATAAATAAATAAAATGAAATAATAGAAAATAATTTTTATATATTTTTTTATGCATTTTATACATTATTTTTTCTTCAATAAATTCAATTAATTTATTTTATAACTTTATTATCTGATTCTCTCACTTTATCTTTGTTATCTTTAACTTTTTTTTCTTTCTTTAACTTAGCTATTTTTCTTTATATATCTTCTTCAATTTTTCATTTAAGTTATTTTCTTTTAACTTTATCCTATAACTTTTTTAACTTAATCCCTTTATACTTTTCTTTTCTCACTCTTTCAATCTCTTTTCTACCTTCTCATACTCTTCTTTACTTTCTTTAATTCTTTTTTGATTCTTTTATATGTTGCTATTCTTTAAAATTAAAAGATTTAAAATTGATTTTTTAAATTGTAATTTTATAAATTTTGACTAATATAAATTAGTAGAAATATAACTTTAAATTTACATATTTATTTGATATATTTTTAAATGAATTTTTCTGAATTAAATGTATCTGTAAAACTAGACCATATAGTTGATATGTACGTAAGATGTGTTGGATATATGACACATTATTAATATACATAATATGTGCAAAAATAAAATTTTTATAAGTTACATGTGACTTAGATTAGGTTATGAAGGTAACTCATAGTCTGCCGGTAACTTCATAATATAGTGGTAATTTCATAGTCTACTGGTATCTTCATAATATAGTGGTAACTTCATAGTCTGCTAGTATCTTCATAATATAGTGGTAACTTCATAGTCTGCCGGTATCTTCATAATATAGTAGTAACTTCATAGTCTGCCGATATCTTCATAATATAGTGATAACTTTATAATCTGCCAGTATCTTTATAATATAGTGATAACTTCATAGTCTACTAATAACTTCATAATCAAATTGCATAATCTGGTGTTGATTTCATAACCTGATGTTACAATCTGATTGTGACTTCATAACTTACATGTGAATATCTTCTTTGTATTTATAATATTATTTTAACTATTTCCTGTATAATACGGTAGTAACTTCATAGTCTAATGGCGGATATAGTGCTTTAATTTAATGGTGATATCACAATCTAATAGTAACCGCTTTCTTCTTGTTTTTAATTCGTTTACATATTAAATTCTATGATGGGGTTATTGATCTTCTGTAGTTATTTGGATATCTGGTTTTATGTCGAGGTGCTAGCCTCCTGCGTCTGGCTGGATGCTGGATTCTATATTGGAATGCTTTTTCTTTGCGTCTATTTAGTTGCCTTTCTAGGGACTGAAATGGTGTAAAAAAAGATGACAGATAGCGCAGTTAATTTGCTACCTCTATTTTCAATGATAGCTTATTATACAAAAATTTAATACATAATTATTCGAGATTTCATTAGACTGTCATACGTACGTAATTATCTTAATTGAATATAAAGTAAATATCGGGCATGGTAATATTTATACAATATGTACTATCTTGTTGCCTGACCCATTTGATTACCACGCTATCTTGCAACCTAATTATTGTACCAGTATATATATATTGATTTCGTGTCTGTGGTTAGTGATACATTATGTATTATCATGACTGACTAATTTGTTTGCCAGAAATGTATCATTTGCAATCTAATTATTGCCTATTAGTTGCTGGTATATATATGTCAATTTCACATTCTAGAACTGATAATATATTTATGATCAGTTGGTTAGAGTATTGGTGGTGTGATATGTATTATCATGGCCAGCTCATTTGATTGCCAGAAGTATACTGATTTTGTAATCCTATTTGTTACCAGTTTATGTATCCCTGTAATAAATAAAATTAAAGATAAGACTATTTTATATAATCCCTATTATACGTCAAGTCATGTATCTTACTTATAATTTTAGATTGGTCTAGAATATACAGTCGGCACTGGATATAACGAACCTGTTTATACCGAAAACTTGTTATATCGAACTATATATTACAGAACCGATTTTTTTATAATTAATTACACTGGATATAACGAAATTATATAATAAAATGCTATATACCGCATCCGAACTCATTT